CGCCCGGCCTGTGTGTCACTTTTGTATGGCTGGCTTTCAGCATGCTACTGGGTATGAGGCAGACCTTCAATAAATATCTCTTTGATGAAATATAAACAAAGGCTGTATTTAAAGAGATTGTATTGATGTGATAGTATTTAATATCATTTTGCTTTGTGAGTGAAATTTTTTCGGAAACATGTAAATCTGTACTATGTCTATGGATACTGGATAGTGGTGGCCTGGGAGCTGGCTTAATGAGCTCTGGTTTAGATTTGTCCTCTGAAAATGGTACTCTTGGTCAAGGCGAGATAGAATAAGCCTTTATGAGGGCGTATAATTTTCTGGAAATTTTGCCAGATGTGTTTGTGTATATTATCTTGCTTAATCCCATGCAGCATTATTCTGCCTTTGTTGTAGAGGAAAGGGAATAGAATATCTCTCTTACGATTTGTAAACTTCAGTTTCCATCATCTGTAAAGTGACAGTAATATATTAGAAATTGATCTCTAAGGTTATCTCAGAAACAAAAAATGTTATGGCATAGCTATTTTTAATATTCAGTCCCATTATGATTTTGCAATGTAGACACAAGAAAGGCTACTCTAGTCATTGACCTCATTATTCCTTGGCTTACTTAGATATAATTGCTGACACATTTGTTGCCTTAGTGCTATTTATTATTAAGCATGGCCAAAATATTACCAGTTACTACATACTTATATTCCAGAAACTATGCTAGGTTCTGAGTAGATATAGCATGTAGAACAGACTCAGTTCTTGTTGCCATTAAGCTTATCAAGGTAGATATTAATCAAATTTTCACAAATACGTAGTTCTGAACTATCATTGGTACTGTAAAGGGAAAGTAGAGAGGGTATTTTGAGAATTTTAACACATGACTTTATTTACTCTGCTTTTCCGAGGAAGGGATAGTTGAGCTGAGGTCTGAAGTTGGGGGATGGGTTTGGGGAAAGAAGAAGTGAGCAAGGTATTAGTTCCAGACTGAGGGTATGGCATGTGCAAAGACCCTGGGATAGGAGGAAGTATGGTATGTTTGAGAAACTGAAATAAAGCCTTTTTTTTTTCCATATTTTTTTCAGAGTTGGGGAATGAAGAGTGACATGAGATAAGGTTGTGAGTAGGGAGGAACAATATCATATTGGTACCTGCTAAGACATGTTAAGAATTATGTTTTTCCCCCCAGGAGCAATGGGAAGCCACTTGGGGTTTTTCGCATGGGGGAGATTAATAAGATACATAATTAGAAAATTACTATGAGTGTACTATAGTATTTAGATTGGAAGGATCAACACTAGAAACCAGGAGACATCTATTAGGAGAAGAATGTTACAATATGTAGGTGGAGGTAATGACAACTTGAATTAAAGTGGTTACAGTGGAGATGAAGAGAGGTAGACCACATTTTTAGAGAATTTCAGGAGCAAAATCATTTTTATTATAAGAGTCAATCTTATTTTTCTATGTTCTTAATTTATGTCCAGTAGTCTTATAAATGTGAAAATTAGCCATTCACAGGATTTTTGAAGAGTGATTGGTCAGAGTTTGAATTTTCGTAAACCTCTTGTCCCAGCATTTTCACTGTGTCTGTTCTGGAAAGAAATTTGTTTGATGTATAATAAGATGTATGTACAAGGACAGTCATTTTGACTCTGTTTGTAATAGTATAAAACTAGAGACAAATAGGTGCTTATTAATAGGGAAGTAGTTAAATAAGTTCTATACATATTATGGATTGCCATTCAGGAATCTCATGTATTTGTATGGAAAAGTCTCACTTATTTAACCTTTGAAAAATGGAAACATAGATATTCACTTACATTTTTAGGTCATTAAATATGAAATGTCCAATTTCAAATCAGAAGTGTAGTTAATTATATGTCAAACAAGAAACAGTACAGTAAATCAAAGTATGCATCTAAACTATCAACACAGTTTTGCCATCTTGTTTATGCCAGCAACAAAGAAGCCTGCAGAGCCAGTGGAGATGAAAGCGCAAAAGACATTTTCCACAGCCTGTTGAGAATTGACTATTTTTCCTTGCAAGAAATGGTCCAAACCCTGGAAGAAGTGGTAGTCACTTGGTGCAAGGTCTGGTGAATACAGTGTATGACACAGAGTTTCGAAGTCCAGTCTCCGTAGTTTGAGCAGCATTGTTTGTGTGACATATGGTCGAGTGTTGTCTTACAAGAGGATTGGCCTGTCTCTATTGACCAGTCTCAGCTGCTTAAGGCCTCTTTGTTTAGTCCAATTGGTTGCAGTAGACATCTGCTGTAGTCGATTGACAGGTTTCATGAAGCTATAGTGGATAATGCCAGTGCTGGACCACCAGACGGACACCATTAGCTTTTTTGGATGAATATTTGGTTTTGGACTATGTTTCGGCACTTCATCTTTATCCAACCGTTGTGCTAAATACTTGTGATTGTCAAAAAGAATGCATTTTCATCACATGTAACAGTATGGTGTAGAAATGGTTCACCTTTATGTCGTTACAGCAAAAAAAGGCAAGCTTTGAGAAGATTTCTCTTCTGATGCTTGTTTAATTCATGTGGAACCCATCTATCTGGCTTCTTTACCTTGCTGATGTGGTTGCAGTGGTCCAGAGTGTTGGAATAGTAATGTCAAACCTTGCTGCTAATTCACATGTAGGCTGAGATGGATTCACTTCCACTACAGCTTTCAGCTCATCATTTTTCACCTTGGTCTCAGATCACCCACATGGCTCATTTTCAAAATTAAAATCACCAGGATGGAACTTCTCAAGTCATCTACGCATACCATGCATTCATTAGCCACATCCTTCCCAAACACTTCGTTGATATTTTTAGCTGCTTGTGCTGCATTGGTTCCATGACAGAACTCATATTTGGAAAATAACATGAATTTTTGACTCATCTATGGTTTCACAAAAATTGCTCTTAAAAAAAATGTGAAAGATAATCACAAGCCAAAATGTGCATTTGAAAGACTGAGGAGGTTGTACCTTCGCAAGAAACACAAAACAAGCAGTGTCAAAGTGAAATGTCAGAGGTATCAACTGTCAAACTTAGTATTTAAAGAAATTGGACATTTCATACTTAATAACCTAATACATACACACACACACACACACACACACACACTCACACATATATTTATGGAAAGGCCTAGATAATTATGGCAGGATCCATCTGTTAACAGTGGTATTTTGTGGATTGGGATTCATAATTATGGTAGGATGACGTCAGTTTTTTTTTTTTTTTTGAGACAGAGTCTGACTCCGTTGCCCAGGCTGGAGCACAGTGGCATCGTCATAGCTCACTGCAGCCAGCCTCAAGCTCCTGGGCTCAAGTGATTGATCCTCCTGCCTTAGCCTCCTGAGTAGCTGGGACTACAGACGTGTGCTACCGCGCCCGGCTAATTTTTGTATTTTTTGTAGAGACAGAGTCTCACTCTTGCTCAGGCTGGTCTTGAACTCCTGGCCAACCGATCCTCCTGCCTTGGCCTCCCAAAGTGCTGGGATTACAGGGATTACAGGCGGGAACCACTGTGCCTGGCCTTTCTTATATTCTTTTATGTTTTCTATTGCTTGAAATTTTTTAAAAAACCCCAAATTGGTATGTTTTATATTCTAATAAATAAATATACATACATATACTAATGAGAATGCAGTAGCTGTTTATTGGCAATAGTTCTCACCTTTTAAGCTGCCTGCAGTTGGCAGAACTATTTAATTGTACTTTTCTAGGTTTTTTTGATAGGAGGGGTCAGTAAACTACACTAAAACATAAATTAGTTTCACTAATGGGTCACTTAATATATGCTGGAACTGATCTGCTACTGTAGTTGCCTGGGGATTTCTATAAGCTTCAAAAGCACTAGTAAATTTTGTCTACACAAGATAAATACAAAATATGATATTTGCATTCCAATATCCTTACATCAAAATAGAATTAAAGTTTATCCTGAGATCTAACTGGACTCTGTGTCTTATTAGGTGTGTGACTGTGGAAAAGTTTATCAGGTTTTCAGATCTTTCATTTCCTCATGTGTAAGATCTGGACAGCAATATGTTTCTTACAAGGTTTTTGTGCATATATACTGTAGATAACATATATAAAATGACATGCAATATATGCTGAACATCATCAATTTGGAATGTAAGGAGAAAAAACATTATGATTTATTGTTCTTTACTAGAGACAAATAAGATTCACTAGGTCATGGATGGACAAACTAAACTGCTAGTGGCTCAGTTGCCTGTTTTTTAAATAAAATATTATTGGAACATAACCATG